TGAAAATGCGTCTGAGCGAGCAGGGCCTGGTTCTGTCATGGCCAGTCACAAATGGCTGGAGAGACAAAAACTGCGATATTTGGCAACTTGGAGCAGATTTATGTTTGGATGAATTCGTTGCCACCAAAGAACAAAGAACCTTCTTCATGTTGCGATGAGCTGATGCAGCTGCACAATGTTCCAAACCTGGTTTTCAAATGGACCGACCTTCTGAAACTCTGCTGACATCAATCCTATTAACAATGGATGTGTGATGCAGGTTCGCCAGGAAGGCAAGTGAACCTCTTCAATCTTGAAGGATTTTTGGAGAGCAGTCAAACGATCAGGCAGAACAAAGCCAGAGGCCTTTCAGAGCCACGGCTGAGAAAACAGATGAGTGAATGTAAACTTCTGACCTCCACTGTATGAATAATCACTCTAATTTTATAAGTTCTCATTACCTGACAACACATCTGCAGTAAATCCCACTATTTTCCATCTTTTCTTAAAGAGATTCATCAAACGATTCAGTGACAGATCTGACAATGAACAAGTTTTCTTGATTCCGCAGCCGAAGGTCGTAATCTTTGGATGTTTCCTCCATCCTGCGACGCTGCGCTGTCCACCTACACGCCGACACACAACAGGTTCCCCGATTGTTCCTCTGCACCGTGTCACAGGCAGGAACGCAAGCACCATCAAACCGAAGGAATAAAATTATTAATATGCTCTATAAATACAACAGCTGTGATTTAGAACATAAAACTCAGGTTGTAAACACATGATGTACCTTAAATAAGCTGTGGAGAGCGAAAAGCAACAGCATTTTAAAACAGCACTCCTAGCCAAACATAAATGAAGATAAAAAGGCAGAGCAGGGCTGACAGGCCAAATCCTATTAAATTGTCATATTGCTGTGATTTACTGAAAGCAGAATTCTCCATTCAGTGGATCTGGTGCTTCTGTTTCCGTCTGTTCACGGTACGCAGCTGATTTCACTCCTGTGGCCAATTTTTCATGAGTCATAATTACATGGGACCAAACAGGCTTGCAGTGACGTGGGTCGGCTCGGAGACGAGAGCGTTGAAACGCTTGGGAGGTTAAATATTAGCATGGCGGCCCTTATCTGCATCGCTCTCACTTCAGCGCCGCGCCGCACCGCGCCGCGCCGCGTTGTTTACACAGCAGCTCAGACCAACACGGCTGTTTACCCATTACAGCTACAGCGCCGCTTTCTCCACGTCGGCTCTTTCCTTATTTCAGACATTCAAGTCGAGGAACAGCAGCTAATTATTGTTTTGCCAAACAGATCTAACTGTATGGCTGCTTTCAGATTTGTGCATAAGAAAACATATTGATGGAACTAAAAAGAGGAAAATGTGATTTTGTCTGTTTGCTTCTACAGATAATCAGTTTCATTTTTTTATTGGTTTTTTTACTTCACAATAAAAGCAAAGCAACAAGACGGGTGGATTTTTCACATTTCACTGCCTGCAAATTCTAAATAATTTGACTAATTTTCTACTTCAACTGTTGAATGTCCTTCAGTAAATTCTGAGTTATTTCTCGCTCCACAAAGGCCAACTGTCGGCTAACAAAACTAATTGTTGCATAATTTCCTCATAAAAACATACCTGGAGTTGGAGTTGCTTTATTAATGTTTAATAATGTTTGAACAATCCGTGAACTTCCTGTTTCAGTCATTCAGAGGTGCCTTCATTCCTGCTTTGCCTCTTCCTGCACAGCTCCGCCCCCACAGTGCTCCATCAGACTAGCGGCAGCAGCAATCAGCAAACACCTGATGAGTCTGCTGAACTCCATGCAATACATAATATCTGCATATTGAGATGTTCAGGTTTGTTTCTCTGAGGTTCCACTTGGTGGAGAATTTGGCCCAGTCCCTGTTTTAACCAGTGACCTGCTCAGGTGATGCAATGCTACATTATCTGCATTCATCATCACTAATGAAAGACTATTTTGACTTTGGCATCAAAGTTGATATGAAGATTCAACACAGAGAATCTCAACTCATCCTTGAAATGGGATTAATTTATGAAAGCCAAAGATTCATAAATCTGCAGATCAGAATGAATCTAAAGTAGTTTGTTTATTCTGATTGCACACTGTAGTTATGTTATATATAAGTAAATAAACTTTTAATACTCAGTATGTATAAAGGGCTTATTTTATGCCTCCATAGAGTAAAAGCTTTACTTTATTAACCAGCTTTAATTTTATATTCAATCATTCAAATTAGTCATTTCAAATAGTAAAAATATTAATTGCAATCAAATAGTTGAACTTTTTTTCTGTCCGTTTATGAATAAAACATGCATAATTTAGATATTTTTAAATAAAACTTTTCAGCTTTCATCCTATATATTTTTGCTTGGTAGTGGTTTACTTCACGCAGCGGGAATGGGACGGCTCACATCCGTTTCCTCACATTGTTTTTATTCCAGTTCGTCTCATTAAGTTGACGCCTTTGGAAGGGAAGGTCACCCTAAAACTTTTTCCCTCCTCTCACTTCATTTCTCATCTCTGAAGAGGGAACAAAAATAAAGCACAAAGGCCAGTTTGTGTCTGACCTGCTTTACATGAATCCAGCAGCAGAGCAGAGAAACGGCAGAGAGGAAACAGAACCTCACCTGACTGCGGCACCATCATTCAACTGCAGATATTTTAACCAGGTAAAAATATCAACACAATAAAACACATTTTTTATATTAATTATATTTATGTTTGTGTTTTTAGACTAAAATGTGAATAACAGACAAACGTCAGTCTTTTAAAATTGTTTTTCTGCTTTACAGACTATTCAAAAATATATTTTAAATTTCTAATTAATTTTTTTTTAATCTGTGAATTTCAGAAAAGTCTGAAAAATATTTTTAACTGTGAATATTTCTAAATAAAAAATGACAAGCTGAGCAAAATTCTGATCAATAATTCAACTGGAGCTTTTGGTAGGAATCTTTCTTTTTTCATTTGGATTCAAGCTCTCACAAGAGTCCTAAAGGTAGAATTTGACCTCTGACCCTAACGTCAGCAGAGCTGCTGCTCCTCCCCTGAAGCCCAAACGTCACGTCCAGCAGAAACTTTGCTGCCTGAGGAAAGAGAGGCTGAGAAACATCAGCTTCTCACAGCCTGCATGGTGACCGGAAACCCGCTGCAGCTCACATTCATCCTCTCATTCATCCTGTCATTCATCCTATCATCATTCTCTCATGCATCCTCTCATTCATCCTGTCATCCGCCTCACATTCATCCTGTCATTCATTCTCTCATTCATCCTCTCATTCATTCTCTCATGCATCCTCTCATTCATCCTCTCATTCATTCTCTCATGCATCCTCTCATTCATCCTGTCATCTGCCTCACATTCATCCTGTCATTCATCCTCTCATTCATCCTGTCATCTGCCTCACATTCATCCTCACATTCATCCTGTCATTCATCCTCACATTCCTCCTGTCATTCATCCTGTCACCCGCTTCACATTCATCCTGTCATCAGCCTCACATTCATCCTTTCATTCATGCTGTCATCATCCTATCATCCGCCTCACATTCATCCTCTCATTCATCCTCTCATTCATCCTGTTATTCATCCTGTCATCCGCCTCACATTCATCCTGTCATCAGCCTCACATTCATCCTGTCATCTGCCTCACATTCATCCTGTCACCCGCCTCACATTCATCCTCACATTCATCCTGTCATCATCCTGTCACCCGCTTCACATTCATCCTGTCATCCGCCTCACATTCATCCTCTCATTCATCCTCTCATCAGCCTCACATCAGCCTCAGATTCATCCTCACATTCATCCTGTTATTCATCCTGTCATCCGCCTCACATTCATCCTGTCATCAGCCTCACATTCATCCTCTCATCAGCCTCAGATTCAGCCTCACATTCATCCTGTCATCATCCTTTCATTCATCCTGTCATCATCCTCACATTCATCCTTTCATTCATCCTGTCATTCATCCTGTCATCAGCCTCACATTCATCCTGTCATCATCCTGTCATCAGCCTCAGATTCAGCCTCACATTCATCCTGTTATTCATCCTTTCATTCATCCTGTCATCATCCTCACATTCATCCTTTCATTCATCCTGTCATTCATCCTGTCATCCTCACATTCATCCTGTCATCATCCTGTCATCAGCCTCACATTCATCCTGTCATCATCCTGTCATCATCCTCACATTCATCCTTTCATTCATCCTGTCATCATCCTTTCATTCATCCTGTCATCATCCTCACATTCATCCTTTCATTCATCCTGTCATCATCCTTTCATTCATCCTGTCATCATCCTCACATTCATCCTTTCATTCATCCTGTCATCATCCTCACATTTATCCTGTCATTCATCCTGTCATCATCCTCACATTCATCCTCACATTCATCCTGTCATTCATCCTCACATTCATCCTGTCATTCATCCTGTCACCCGCTTCACATTCATCCTGTCATCAGCCTCACATTCATCCTGTCATCAGCCTCACATTCATCCTTTCATTCATGCTGTCATCATCCTGTCATTCATCCTCACATTCATCCTGTCATCAGCCTCACATTCATCCTCTCATCAGCCTCAGATTCAGCCTCACATTCATCCTGTCATCATCCTGTCATCATCCTCACATTCATCCTTTCATTCATCCTGTCATCAGCCTCACATTCATCCTGTCATTCATCCTGTCACCCGCTTCACATTCATCCTGTCATCAGCCTCACATTCATCCTTTCATTCATCCTTTCATTCATCCTGTCATTCATCCTGTCATCATCCTCAGCTCGGCCTGCAGGAGTTCAGGTCCAGCAGTTCATCAAGCGTCCAGATGTAATCCTGACTAATGACGTGTCCGCGGTCAGGCTGCTGATGTCACAAAGACGTAACATTTTAATTAAAGAAGTTGAGTTTCTCCGCTGGACTCGGTCTTACTCACACCTGTCACGCACGCTGTCACGCACGCACACGCATGTCAACCAGCGCAGGTGTGACTTACGCTGCTGTTGTGGCCGGACCAGTGCACCATGGCCTGGTTGTGGGATGAGTCTCCGGTCAGGGCGAACGTGGAGCTGTTGAGCTTTAACTCCTCCTGCCGCGCGCCCGCCGCTCTGCGCTCCTTGCCGCTCCAGCGCGCCGCTCTGCGCCCGGCCGCCGCTGCCGCCGCCGCCGCTCCCTCTGCCGGGGCTGAGCTGACTGCATCCCCGCCGCTGTCCCTCCTGGAGCGCCGTGGAGTCGAACCAACACCGTCCCTGTGTTGGGAAACTTTCCCGCTGCCTGTAATCCGCTCCCGCTTCGGCTGCCTCCGGTCTGGAGCGCATCCTGCGGGGCCCGGCTCGCAGGGGACCCTCCCGGTCCGGTCTCCGCTCCCCAAAACTTCCCCCACTGGCCCGGCAGCGGGACCACTTGTTTCCACCCTCAGCAGTAATTCCTGCGCGCCGTACCACATATTCCCGTCCCGGCATGACCTGCAGGTTATCTCAGCTTCGGCGACGCCTAGCAAGCCGGACAGGAGGAGGAAGAGCCCGAACCGGAGCGCGCCGTGCCACTTTGGGCAGAACCTGACCTCCGTCTCCATCGCTGGGGGCAGAACAGGATGCAGCGGATGCTGGGAGTCTTCTCTGCCTGTCCGGGAGGTTCTGAGCTCGATGTGGAGGAGAAACAAACTGCTGCAAGTTGCGGCGCTGGAGCCAAATGCGGTGGAGTCCAAAGTGCGACTGAGCCGAAGTGGTCCAAGTTGAAGGATTTGATGAAATGAAGCCCCGCGCAGAGGGAGGAGCTGCATCACTCCGAGACGGAGAACAATGTTGCGTCTGTCTGTCTGTTTCCCACCATTTGGTCGAGCTTCATTAAAACTCTCAGATTTTCTCTGCTTCACTTTTTCCCTTCACGTTTCAGGAGAATTATTTTTGGTATTTGCTCGATTTATTTGTCTCCCGTTGCAGCTTTTTAATCTTCCTCCTGATGACAAATAATCCCGATAAGATCCTGTGTGTAAAGACTTGGTTATTAATTTCAGTATATATTAAAATATACAATTATACATAGTGATATATCTCTAGTCTTTATTAGTTTTGATCTATTTGGTTTACAGTGAAGAAATGTTTAAATTCACTTAATCAGAACATTTTTATTTCACATTAAACTTAATATTTTTAATCAGGAATGTTTCTCATATCTGTTCCAGTCAGGAAGTGTCAAAAGTCCACAGACTTCTGCTTTCAAGCATATTGATGGGAAGATAAGTGGAAGGAAAAACTCAGGTAAAAACTCAGTTTTATGTTATTCCAGTACCAAAACAGATCTTTTTTTTCTTCTTTTTTTTTTTTTTTTTTTTTTGTCATATTGAATATTTGAAGATGTATCAGGCTTCAGATGAAATGTTGTTTTGTGGATTTTATGAAAAAATAAAGAACAAAACTTCCAAAAATACTGGAAGCTGGAGTGGAACAGAAGTAATTTACAAGGAAAAGCCAGAAGGGAGACAGCAGGAAAACCAGGGGAGTAATGGAAGGATCCAGCAAGGAGTGACTGAGAAAGAGGTGCTAAAGTACTGGGAGGGTCAGGAAAGAATGCAGAAGCAAAACATGCGAGCTGATTGGCTACCTGACTGCAGGTGTGAGAGAAAAAGAGTGAGAGAGAGAGAGCGAGAGAGAGAGAGAGAGACAGAGAGAGAGAGAGAGAGAGAGGCAGAACCAACAGCAAGAAGTAAGAGATGCAAAATAATAAACCACAGAACAGATCCTAACATTTTCTTTTTTTATGTGTCAACTGTTAACCCTCCCCACTTCTAAGCATCTCTGTAAAATCCCTACTGTTAATGTTACTCTTATTTTGAAATGCAACAGGAAGTTCTCTGCTAAGAGCAATGGTTTCGCCCCCAGTTTGGTGCTTATCAAGTCCTCTGACATCCCGGGTTAGAAGCTCGCTGCTGAAATGAAATAAATAAAAGAAAGTTGATGCCAGAGATGTTAAAAACAAAAAAACTGAAATGACAAACGTTCATTTCGTCCAATCAGGTTTGCTGGTCAAGAAATTGCTACATATTTCTACTATATGCAAGGTAATATTTCATTTCTTTTGCTTGTTTTCATATTATCCATTTTAAATCCGCAGACTGGCTTTGATCATTTTATCCCCACTTGATCACGACCTCCAGCAGCCAAGAGCCTCTGATCATTCCCACAAATTAATAAGTATCCAATTAAGAGCAACATATTATGCAGTTATTAAAGAGTAATTGGGTGTTTAAGGAGTTTTTCTCTGCCTCCCTGCAGGATGATTGGTTTGATGCAGCGGCTGCCACTGCTTCCTGAATTAGGCCAGAAAATGGACATCATGTATTTATCTGGCACAAAAAGTCAGCAGAAACAATGAAAGTTCATCTCTTATTGACCCTGCAGCTCTGCGTGTCTGATCACCGGAGGTTAGCAGCCAATGTTGATGAGCGTCTGCAGCTGCAGCAGCAGCAGCAGCAGCAGCAGCAGCAGCAGCAGCAGCTGCAGCAGCAGCAGCAGCAGCAGCCACAGAGTGAGCCACAGAGTGAGCCACAGAGTGAGCCACAGAGTGAGCCACAGAGTGAGCCACAGAGTGAGCCATCAGGGACGGACACGGTGCCTGGAGATGCGATTACCTCACCGGAGGGAAGTCTGCACAGAAACTGCAACAAATTTAAAAACGGTATTTTGCTTTGCTGCATATCATGATGCATACAAATACCTGTCAGAACTCTCAGATTACTGGCTGTAGCTCTTCAGCTGAGTCGGCTGCAATTGTTTCAGAACTTGCTTCTTCACCATGCAACACTTTCTTTGTTTTCACAATAAAATACATATCTGACAGTGTGCATGAATATAATGCACACATTTCGTCGCCTATAAGTAAATCCAGCTGCCTTCAGAAATCAACTAATAAGGGAAAATCAATAATGTCCACCTATTTTCAGATTCCTATTTATATAACAGTTATTCAAAAATGTATTTTCCAGTAACTTCCCAAAATGCATTGCTCTGACAATAAGATAAACAACATTGACTATACTGTAGTTTGTGGTTGTCATGTGCAGAAGCATCATGGGTACCGTAGTTATGAGTCTCTTTTTTTGTTACCATTTTTCGGGTTAATTTAGGAACAACTGATCGATTATTCCTTACATCTTTGTGCATCTCAGACTCCAGGATCAGAACTAAATGGAATCTGTGGGTCATGCTGACATGAGTCCTGTGGACCAGATTCTCATCCTGATGGCAGGTTGAACATCTCAGCTGTACGATACAAATGTAGCGACTGCTGATGCAAATACATATGAATATAAAGGCATCTTGGTTCTGCTTCTCATGCATATTAAGTATGAAACAACCTTTCAGTTCCTCTCTGTTTTCTTTCAGCTCTGATCACTTCTCATCTCTAACGTCGAACCAAAGACATTAGAGATGAGAAGAGCTTCCTCTCCACATGCATCACAATAAGCCGACACATTTCACTGATTTATGTTGCTGCGATGGACAGAGTTCACATTACCCTCACAGGCTTATTAACCAGATCTGGTGCTTACCTCGGTGTGTGTGTGTGTGTGTGTGTGTGTGTGTGTGTGTGTGTGTGTGTGTGTGTGTGTGTGTGTGTGTGTGTGTGTGTGTGTGTGTGTGTGTGTGTGTGTCCTGCGTTAACCATTTCACACAGAGTCATCTCATGTGCCCGTCTGGACTCGCCATCCACTCAGAGGGAATCGATGTTCTGCCGATTGCAGAAATGGATTTCTGAGGATGTTGAAGAAGGCGACATACAGAAGTGAGCGGAATGATTTGTGTGAATACACACCAGGAAGCCGAGACGCTCCTGTGTGTCAGAAATAAGGCCAGGGAAAGCTGCCTTTGGCTTCAGACTCTAAGATAAGCTGCACTGAGAGCCTTTTAGCTTCCTGAAGTCACGATTGGTCTTTATTACTCATAGATTCAACAGTAACTGTTTGAGTGTTTGGAGTTTCAAGCTTTTATGTTTATTTGTTTTCTCCTCAGGCTCTTTTTCTCAGCAGAGCACAGAAAACGTTTCGCTGTCGAGCACCAAGAAGAAGATCTCTGTTTGTATATCATTAGGTTCACATGCAGATCAACTCAAATCAATTGATTCAGCCACAAACTGAACTCATGGTAAAATGAGTTCAGTTTACCAACAACTAAGACCGACTCTGATCCTGTTCTGCTCCGGCTGATTGGTTCCATCCGCTTTCTGCTTCATCTTACTGACTGTGCAGCATCGCTGTGTCCATCCCGCCAGCTTCTCATTTCATACTGCAATCATTGCAATATAGTTACATGACCTTTCGCCATGTTGCATTTAATTTCCCCTCCTCCATCTGGGTGACGCTTTGCATAAACGCCATGAAATACTCTTTCTGTTTAATTGACTTTCTGAACCCTGAAATATTTTTATATCCTTATTTGTGAGTCTCTTTGGATAAAAGAATCTGTCAAATGCAGAAACATAAACATATTTTTCTTCTCCATTTTGCCCAGTCTCTGTTTTATGCTGGTGTTTTCTTTACTGCCAGCCTGAATTTGAGCCAGACGGTTTATTTAGCCGGTCTGTGTTGTTTCAGTGTTTTAACCTGAACATTTCAGCTGCTTCAGTTTGTTTCTGCTCATATTTGTTGTGCTGAGACTGAGGCCAGCAGGCTTAAACGCCTCTGTTAGACTGTGAGCTCTGGAGTAGCTTTGTATTCGTCCTGTTGCTTTGGTCAGCAGCAAAATCATCAATTAGTGCCAGTTTCACCTGCAGCAGCAGAGTCAGGCCGCTTTGACGGATGCTTCGTTCCTCCGCTTTGCACTTTCTGTCATCTTGATGGAAGGTTTCTTGTTTTGGTCGGTGCTACTCTATGTTGGGAAAACGTTTATTAGGTGTCTGTGTTTCACAGTGTTGGAGTTTATTCATCAGTAACAATGGAGGCGTCCAGTTTGAAAAAGCCAGATTGATTTGAAAAGATTTTTCCTGAAGTTAAAGTTGAAAGCTGTTTTTTGGGTTTACCAACGTTTTCTTTGCCTGTTCCAGATGTTTTAGATCAACTTAGAAAACTGTTGGAATACAGTTTCTATTAGCAACATGCATTAGATGTATTGACTTGTTCTTTAGTCAGTTTACTGTGATCCAGGTGTCATTAATGATTAGCATCAGTAATGGACTGTAGTCATTAATGACGTGACTTTTGAAGGAAATTGGTTTTATTTAAGGGTTTCCAGGGCGTCTGAATGCAATCAGAAGGAATGTTTGCTAATGTTTACAAGCGTTCAGAATTTTATTTGTTCAAAATGTGTAAAGATTTGTGAGCGATTTTGAGCAGGAAGCATAATGACATCTGGAAAGTCATGGATGAACAAAAACCTTGACATCAAGCAGGGATATATGGTGACGATTGCAGAAATGACTCATTTTGATATTTTCTGCTTTAAGCTTGAAAGAAAAGTTTCGCCGGCCAGCAGGAAGCTGAGCAGTGACATCCACCATATCTGTATTCATAAACATCAGAGAGCAGCGATGGGTCAGGAGCAATCAGTTCGCCATAGAGAGTGCTGCCACGTCTCAGTTAACCATCTCTCCATTCATAACACCATTTGACATGTTTGTGGCTCTGACTTTTAATAATTACTAATTCGTTGGGGAAGAAAATATAAAAATCTATATTTAAAAATGTAATTGATGTGACAGGCTGCACGCAGAATCAAAGCCAGAAAAAGGCCGGTGGTTAGTCAGGATTCTATTTCCAGTTTCTGAGTTACATCTCAAGCGGTGTCCTAAATTGGCTGAACCAGTGTGTCGCTCTGCTCCATACTGTCATGCAGCTTGAAATACATTAATTGGATAATCC